ACTTTATTTATTGACATGACCCTCGGGCATAGGGTTTCGACGAAAAAAAAAGTGTCTCGAAAACGTTCTAAACATATATGGATTGACTCAGTTTTTAATGGAGATTCCAAATATGCAAAAAAATCAAAAGGCTTCCATGTGAGTTTTGAGAAATCCAAGTTAGTTTTCCAAAGATCCTATGAGAAACCGACTTCGAGATTGCTCCTCAGAAAAGACTTTGCTAGTGAAAAGATGCTTCTTCGCCTTGGCTATCGAACGGCGAAAACCGCAGGTCTCTATCTTGTTCCTAGCAAAAGTTATTCAAAAAATAGTCACACGCACGGACTTTTTGAACGAGCTATAGTATCTGGGCGATACTTATTGGTGTAAATTGCTATTTTAATTTTCTATAAATAAACTACCAAGACGAGTGCACAGGTTGAAAAAAGAATAACTCTTCAAAAGATGCTGCGATACAGAGTCATTTTAATTAATCGAAAGAACAGCGTATAATCCTATTTGTATTGTAAAATTAATTAGTACGAATCGATCGGTTCTATTTTGACTCGAAAGAATGATCCGAAATGACTTGTTTGTACATGAAATAGACACAACCACTACCACAACGACGACCACTACCACATCAACCACCACGACGACCGTCACCACAGCAACTACAACGACGACCGTCACCACAACAACTACTACGACGAGCGTCACCACAACAACTACTACGACGACCGTCACCACAACAACTACTACGACGACCGTCACCACATCAACCACCACGACGACCATCACCACAACAACTACTACGACGACCGACACCACAACAACTACTACGACGACCGACACTACAACAACTATCACAACAACTACCACGACGACCGTCACTTCGACAACTAGTACCACAGCTAGTACCACAACGCCAACGACAACAACCACAACTACCTCTACGTCATCAACTACAACGACGACAACCACAACAACAACTCTTCCGACCTGCTCTACGTCTTGTGTTAATGTGACAACTCTGTCTACGGTACCCTATCTTGCGCGTTGGACTTTTGAGAATACTTATACCGATTCGATGTCCACTTATAATGCGGTGCCGGTCAATGGCCCCAGCTTCGTTTCTGGCTACGTAAATCAGGCTGTCTCTCTTGACGCATCACTAAATAACTACTTATCAACTTCATTCATTCCATTGACCTATCGAAGTTTTACTGTTGACGCTTGGATTTATCCGACGGACTTTCCCAATCCAAGTCGAATCCATACCATTGTTGGTCTTTGTCAACAACAAGCGACACAATACTGCCTTCAAATCTATTTCCGTTTCAACTCGACTCTGGGATATGCTACCGCCGTCTTTGGTTTTTGGGAAACTGCCGACCTTAAGGGAACGGCACCCATTCGAGCCAATGTATGGACACATGTCGCATTCATCCATAGATCACCAATAAGCCAGAGCGTTTATATTAACGGAAATTACGATAACTCGCGTTCAACATCAAAAGGTTTCAATGCAAGTTCAGGGACGTTCTACATTGGCAACAATTATAATCTCGTCTCAAATGCTGCATTCGGGAATAACAGTTTTGAGGTAAATTGCACTTATTCTAGATATTTATATTTCAGCTTTCTAAATCATTTTTCTTTACGATGAACATATTTATAGCAAACATGTATGAAACATCGAAGATCGTGATAGAATCGCGGGCTGAAACTCCGATGATACCACAATTCCCTTTAGATATAATTAGTGAGATAAATACTGACGTGTATCATTGACCAAACTTTTCGAGTATTTGAAAAAACTTTCAGCAAAATTCCGTCGAGATTAAAATATGAAACGCGATGAGGCTACTTCAACTATGACTGAGAAATCTCACGATTTCTATCGTGAAGTCGCAATTTTTCGGCATCTTTAAATGAATCTGATCAAAAGGTACTTGTAGACATACCCTACTTCTTCTGCTAAATCGATTGCAAGACTGCTCGAAGCTTCAAAAGGAAAGATTTCTCACGAGTGACTTTTCCACTAACGCACATGAAAGTAGCTAAACGCTTGCTCATTGTAACCATCCATTTTCCAACTTGTCTTCTTAATCAATTTTAAACTATCTGACAAGTAATCATTTTCTGTATCATCTAAGGGCTATATTGATCAATTAACAATAAGCGATGGAGTAAGATCGGCATGTGAAATTCTGAACGTTGCTACCTTGGCCGCTTATCTTTCGTTTGATAACACATCAAATATTCTTATGGACGCTGGTCCGAACAGTGTGTCGGTAAATGCATTCAACTATATGTCAGTGAGTGGTGTGAAAGGAAGTCAAGCTATCTCATTTAGTAGTTCGTCGTCTTCATATCTACAAGCATCAGGCTTTCGCTTTCTTTCGTACAATAATACGTCTATTTCATTATCTCTCTGGGTTCAACCGACAGCCAATCAAGGAATTCTCGTTGATTCCTCGTTAGGATATTCACCCTTGGCTTTCGCATCGAATGGATCTCTCATCGCTCGAATAGATACTATTTCGATCATGTTCGGTTCTCTGCTTCAGCTGACACCCATTTGGACACATCTTGTTCTAACGTGGTCATCCTCGAACGGACTTAGACTTTACGTGAATAATCAGCTTGTTGCGAGTGTTTCAGCACCAACGTCGATAGGAAGCGGAGGAACAACAAACTCTTTGACAATCGGAGCGGGATCATTCATGGGAACAATCGACGAATGGTATGTGTATTCCAGAGAACTATCATCAAATGATATATGTGTTCTCTTTGTTAACTAAAACTGCTCTTCTCTATGACTATTTTTCGTCTGAAAATCCATTTGGTTCCATAAGATTTGCATCACAAACTTTATCTTCAAATCCGAATTTGTCGAAACTAACCTTAATTGCGATTATGAAAACTCTTTATAAAATAGTTATAATGCGAAAATCTTTTATCATTTTTAGGCTGCTTAATCTTTTCAGAACTCGTTCTTTCATGCTTTTTGAAAATAAATTTTTATGCAACAACAAACTTTTATTGTCCATAATTTACAAGATTATAATTCTCAAAGCGTACTGCTCTTTGATTTTGGGTGTGGGTGTAGCGGTTGGGCGTGTTGGTATGAGCGTGAGTGGGAATATCGCTGTTGGTGTGTGAGTCTGAGTATAGGTGTGGGTACGTGTGTGAACCTGAGGCTGAAAAGAAGATCGACACCCACACCCACATCCCGACTTTTATCGTGTCCTTCTCCACTTCAACTCAACACAAGTAATTGCAGCGACAGAAGATTAAAAGCAGAGATAGTCATTCTTTTATCAAAGGATCACTCACAAGTGCCTACACATTGGGTTTTTTTCTTCCTTTTAATCAAAGCAAATGTTGAGTTATGCAACTTATAGAATTTCAACTGTTTGTGAAACAACAATGAAACTTGAAATTTGATAAAAGCAAAGAAAAAATTCATCGTCATCATTATATTCGCGGAATCATTATCTAACATTGTGAATTGTTAGAAATTAAATAAAACACTGGAGAAGCTCATTTTTAATAACTTGCTTATAGATCACTATCTATAGTGAAAGTTAATTCTGCAACCAACTTAACAGAAATATTTAAAAGAAAAAACTATCAGAAACAAACGATTGCCCTATGGACTCTGTACAAAAATATGTTGCAAACCCTACGAAGAGTGTAAGTCTGATTGACCTCGAAGTTTTACCCATTATTCTTCTACTTAGGGTTATCCACAAGTAGTGACGAAGGTTCTTTTTTTTCTTATAGAAAGCTTGAAAAAATTTTCTTTTTTTATGAATAGATAGAGCGTCTTTCGCTCTATCTTTCTATGCTATTTGACTACTATTAAACTAATATCATCATAATAAAATTTCGATAAGAGCTATTT